AGAAGACATGAACAGACATTTTTCCAAAGAAGACATCCAAACGGCCAACAGACACATGAAAAAGTGCTCAACATCGCTCAGCATCAGGGAAACCCAAGTCAAAACCTCAATGAGATATCACCTCACACCAGTCAGAGTGGCTAAAATTAACAAGCCAGGAAACGACAGATGTTGGCGGGGATGCAGAGAAAGGGGAACCCTCCTGCACTGTTGGTGGGAATGCAAGCTGGTGCAGCCACACTGGAAAACAGTATGGAGGTTCTTCAAAAAGTTGGAAATAGAGCTACCATACGATCCAGCAATTGCACTACTGGGTATTTACCCCAAAGATACAAATGTAGGGATCCAAAGTGGTATGTGCACCCCGATGTTTATAGCAGCAATGTCCACAATAGCCAAACTGTGGAAAGAGCCAAGATGTCCATCGACAGATGAATGAATAAAGAAGATGTGGTATATATATATATATATATATATATATACAATGGAATATTATGCAGCCATCAAAAGGAATGAAATCTTGCCATTTGCAATAACGTGCATGGAAATGGAGAGTGTTATGCTGAGCAAAATATGTCAATCAGAGAAAGACATGTATCATATGACCTCACTGATATGAGGAATTCTTAATCTCAGGAAACAGAGTTGCTGGAGTAGGGGGGTTGGGAGGGATGGGGCGGCTGGGCGATAGACATTGGGGAGGGTATGTGCTATGGTGAGTGCTGTGAATTGTGTAAGACTGTTGAATCACAGATCTGTACCTCTGAAACAATACATTATATGTTAAAAAAAAAAAAAGGAAGAAGAAGAAGAAGATAGCAGGAGGGGAAGAATGAAGGGGGGGAAATCGGAGGGGGGGATGAACCATGAGAGAAGATGGACTCTGAAAAACAAACTGAGGGTTCTAGAGGGGAGGGGGGTGGGAGGATGGGTTAGCCTGGTAATGGGGTATTAAAGAGGGCACATATTGAATGGAGTACTGGGTGTTACACACAAACAATGAATCATGGAACACTACATCAAAAACTAATGATGTAATGTATGGTGAGTAACATAACATTAAAAAAAAAAAAAGACGGGTCCTGTGCATCAGGATCTCACAAGGCTCTGATTATGGTGTCAGGGAGGACGAAGTTCTTATCCAAAGTCTCAACTGGACAAGGATCTAACCCCTGTGGTTGTTGGAACAATTCAGTTCCTGGAGGCTGTTGGACCGAGGGCCTCAGTTCCTAGCTTGCTGTTGGCTCTAAGCCCCATCATCTGTTTGCCATGTGGACCTCTCCAACATGGCCACTTGCTTCATCAGTGCATGCAAGCCAGGAAGGCAGTTGGGAGAGTCTGCTAGCCGCAGAAGTTACAATCTCCTGTATCCTGATCAAGGGGCATCCCATCACCTTTGCCATCTTAGGCCAAAAGGAAGAAAAGGAAAAAACCACATGTATCAAACTTGCACACCTGTTGGTTGAAGCAAGTCATAATGGTTTTCTATTGCTGCTATGACAAATTACTGCAGACTTGGTGGCTTACAGTTCTCTAGGTTAGAAGTTCAACATGGGACTGACAGGGCTAAAATCAAGGTCTCGACAGGGCAGCATTCCTTTTTGGAAGCTCCGGGGGAAAATCCATTTCCTTGCCTGTCCAGCTTCTAGAGGCTTCCACATCCCTTGATTTGTGACCTCCCCCCCACCCATCTTCAAAGCCAGCAACACTGCATCTCTCTGGCCCTTCTGCAATCACCTCTCCCTCTGACGCTGACTTACCCAGGAAAGATTCCTTCAAGGACTCCTGTACTAAGTTGGGCCCACCCACATGATCCAGGATGGTCTTCCCATCTCAAGGTCCTTATTCCTTTTTTTTTTTTTTTTAAGATTTTATTTATTTATTTGACAGAGAGAGAGATAGCGAGAGCAGGGACACAAGCCCGGGGAGTGGGAGAGGGAGAAGCAGGCTTCCCGCTGAGCAGGGAGCCCGATGCGGGACTCAATCCCAGGACCCTGGGATCATGACCTGAGCCGAAGGCAGACGCTTAATGACTGAGCCACCCAGGCGCCCCAAGGTCCTTATTCCTAATGGCATTTGCAAAGGCCATTATTCTGTCTACTCACTCAGTGATAGGTCCTGCCCATGCTCGGGAGGAGGGAGTTGGATAAGGGTGTTAGTAACAGGAGGCAGGGACCATTGAGGAACTGGGGCTTTCTCCCCCTCATCGGGAGTGAGGCACCTGATGCAGCTTCATCACAGGCAAGTCTTCATTCTTGCCTTCACTATCCACTGGGGGATGTTGGGTGACCGTGACTTCTGTGTGCCAAGTAGGGTTCTCTGAATGTTAACCAAAGAAGCCAACCCTGGTTGACATAAGGAAGAAGACATTTCTTGGAGGGCTGGTGGGGCCACAGAACGAATGGAAAGCTAGAAAGCTGCACTTGGAAAAGAACAAAAAGAAAAGTGGCTCTGTGATCTAGGAATCAGGGACGATCACTGTGGGGCCCTAGCAAGAACAGTCTGGTCCGGAAACAGCCAGTGGGAGACAACAAAGAGCCGTCTCCAGTCCAGTTAATCACAGTACAAGTTATTTTTGGCTTATGAGGCATTCCAGCATGGGTATATATGCCTGGTTGGGTGGCTTCTGTGGCTCTGTCATCCCTTAGGGCCTCAGAGTCCCTTCACTTCCAGCCAGTGGGTAGGGAAAGCGTGAAAAATCCTCTAGGAGGTGAGCGCAGGCCAGACCTGGAAGTGGCTCTGTCACACATTCACGTTAGCTACCACTTGGTGGCATGGTCACATCTCATTGCAAGGAAAACCTGGAAATGTAGTCTGTGTGCCCAGGAAGAAGATGAACTGGATTTTGGGGAGTTTGAAGCAAGGGTGTGTTTTTGTCAATAAAGTTTTATTGGAACGTGGCCATGCCCATTTGTTTACATACCGGACACGCTGCATTGGCAGAACAGTCACAGCGGTGACTGTCCCACCTGCCAGGCCCGAAATGTGGACTGTCTGGCCCTCTACAGAAGGAGTCTGCTGAGCCCTAGAGCAGTCTGCAAAAAGCACGAAGGTCCCTATTTCTTGGCATCCAATGAGATAGGGGATATAACAGCTGTTAGTACACCTAGCGCAGAGCAGCATGGGTGAGTAATCGATTGCGGGCAATTACGAACCCGCTAGAATCTACTCACATATTAGTACCTCTGCATTAGGACCGGCCTTCCATCCATATATAATGCCACCAAAAGCACCAACTATGATGTTTGTCCTTTCTCTGTAGGTTTTATGTATTTCCAGGTTTCTTCCTGCAAAGCTAAGATCTCATTCCTTCAGGAGCCTTCATTGAGTGCCTGATGTGAGCCAGACTCCAGGGAAATGTAGAGAAATGAGACCTGTTCTTGCCCTGGAGAAGCTCCCCAGCTAGCATCAGAGAGACAGACATGTAGGCCGGTACTCGGAGTACGTTTGGGACAAGAGCAGTTAAAGAAAGTCAAGAGCTATTCCAACACAAAATGCTGTCTGAGGGTCCTGGCAGGCTTCCCATAGGGGATCATTGAGGATGGGCCTTAAAGGTTGGATAGGAGTTTGCCAGAGAGGCAGGGTGTCAGAGGCATTCCAGACAAGGACAGTACGTGTTCCTATCTGAGCAAACATTTATCCGGTGCCCATGGCGAGCCTGGTCCTGTGCCAGGCCCCCAATGTAGCAGTGACCCCAGACAGATGAGGGCCTCACCCGCAGAGTTTATGCCCAGCCGAAGAAGACCACTGTAGAATCATGACCCATGAGATGCCGTGAGAAAGGACACATGTGAGAAACTGTGGGAACCTGGAAGGGAGGAAGTCTGTGTGGTCTCTCTGTCTTTGGAAAATAACTTTATATAGTTTTTACTTTTATATTTTATCACTTTTTAATTATTTTATTTTTTTCATCATGATAGGTGCACTCCTTAATCCCCATCACATATTTCACCCATCCCTCCCTCCACTCCCCTCTGGTAACCATCAGTTTGTTCTTTTTAGTTAAGAGTCTGCTCCTTGGTTTCTCTCTCTCTCTCTTCCTTTGTTTGTTTGCTTTGTTTCTTAAATATCACATGAGTGAGATCATATGATAATTGTCTTTCTCTGACTTATTTCACTTAGTATTATACTCTCTAGCTCCATCCACATCATTGCAAATGGCAAGATTTCATTTTTTATGGTTGAGTAATATTCTGTCTCCCCCGCCACACACACACACACACACATCACTTCACATCTTTATCCATTCATCAATCGATGGACATGTGGGCTGCTTCCATAGTTCACCTGTTGTAAATAATGCTGCAATAAACATAGGGATGCATGTATTCCTTTGAATTAGTGTTTTTGTATTTTGGGGGGTAGATACCCAGGAGTATGATTACTAGGTTGTAGGGTAGTTCTGTTTGTAATTTTTTGAGGAACCTCCATACTCTTTTCCAGGGTGGCTGTTACCCTGTACCAGTTTGCATTCCCACCACCTTGGGAATGGACGAGGGTTCCCCTTTCTCCTCATCCTCGCCCACACTTGTTGTTTCTTGTGTTGTTGATCTTAACCATTCTGACAGGTTGAGGTAAAATCTCCTTGTGGTTTTGATTTGCATTTCCCTGATGATGAGGGATATTGAGCATCTTTTCATATGTCTGCTGGCCATTTGGATGTCTTCTTTTAGAGAAATGACTGTTCATGTCTTCTGCCCATTTTTGAATTGGGTTATTTGTTTTTTGAGTGTTGAGTTGTGTCAGTTCTTTATAGATTTTGGATCCTAACCCTTTTTGGACATGTCATTTGCAAATATCTTCTCCCGTTCCATAGGTTGAGTTTTAATATATATTTTTTAAACTCTCAGTGGTTGACATTTTGGCCACTGGATGTCATCACAGATCTAGCTCCCCCTGGCCCCAGTTTGATTTTATGAAAATCTACAAATGTGCGTATTTAGGTGTGCAACATGGTGTTTTGCTCTAACTGTTCTTTCTTCCCCCACCACCTTTATCAGGCTAGGCTGGCAGAGGGCCCGATGGCTGAAGACCACCGAGAGCCCCTGGCAGGAGCCGGCGCCCTCCGGGAGACCCTCCGGGCACTCCTGCCCCACACGAAGGAGGAGCTGGTGCCAGAGCTCGGGGAGAAGGTAGAGCGCAGCGTGGTGCGGCTCCTGTGGGAGGCCGCCGAGCTGTTCTGCGGGGGCTGCTGGAGGGAGTGTCTGCAGGCCAGCGAGGCCATCCTGGACTACTCCTGGGAGAAACTCAACACGGGCCCGTGGCAGGACGTCCACAAGGACTGGCGCCGTGTCTACGCCTTCGGCTGCCTCCTGAAGGCCGTGTGTCTGTTCGAGGAGCCTGGGGATGCCCCCGCAGTGGCCGCAGCCCTGAAGGCCTGTGACATGGGCCTGCTGATGGGGGCGGCCATCCATGGGGACATCCTCATTAAAGTCGCCGCCGTCCTCCAGGCGCACCTCCCCTCGGGAAAGAGGCCCGGCCCAGGCCCGGCCCAGGAGCAACCCAGCATGAAGGTATCTAGGTGGGATTGTCGCCTGCCACACCTCACATGCCACCCACAGCTCAGTTTTTTCTAGAAGGGAGGAGTCAGCTGTCCCCAGGGGTGAGGCCTCACAGCGTGCTGACCTCTGGCGGAAAATAGCATCTCGGCGGATTTAGAAATGGAACGGCCCAGTCTGTTTTCTCAGTTCCCCCCCCCCACACACACACTTTCGGCAAAAGCAGTGCCCTTTCAGGAGAGAGGGAGGGTGGAGGCTCTGTGGCGCCAAGAGCGGCAGCTCGAAGGGCTCGTGTGGGCCAGAGCCGTGGGCAGCCGTGGCCCGCTCCTTCTGGCCTGTTCTTGGTCAGCTGGCTGAGGTGTCACCCACTTTCCGGGCTGCCTCGCCCCCGGTGCTGTGGAGTTGGGGCGAGCTGCTACCTCCAGCAGCCTCCTGGTCCCGTGGCTGGTCGGTCCCGCCCTTGAGGTCCTGGCCTGGGGGTTCCTGGTACTTGGGGGCGCGAAGCACACTGCGCAGAGCTGAGGGCGGTGGCAGACAGGGAGTCAGGCCCCAGCGCTGGTGTGCAGCCCTCAGCCACGACACCTCTGGGCATGTCTGGTCGCTGGGAGGAAATAGGTCTGTGACACGAGCACGTGGGAAAATGTTGCATCTCACCTGTGGTTTAAAAAGAAAAAGGCAAGAACGGGGAAGCAGCCATTGTTGGCCGTGAAATCCTCAGAGGAGGTTTCCTGTGATACCCTGTGCCGCCGAGGACACCAGGGGGCCGCGGGCATGGCGTGTGGGTTGAGCCTTCACGGGGCAGGGCAGACATGCCTGTGCCCTTCGACCCAGGGGTTGCACTTCTCTTTCCCACGCCAGGTCTGCGCCAAGGGAACGTGGAGGTGGCCCCGCACCCTAGATGGTGCTCCCGGCGTGGGTGGCGTCGGGCAGTGTGTGTAGCTGAGGGGGGAGAGCTCACACTCTGGAGTCGGCCTGCCGGAGTCGGCCAAGGGCCTGGGCCCCTCCATGTCCCCATTCCCATACCTATAAGGGGGGTTTGCTCAGCGGCTCTCTGGAGCCCAGGCGGTGGTCCAGATGTGCCAGGCGCTGAGGGTATGATACAGAAGGGCCCGTTCTCCTGGAGCCTGGGTTCTAGGAGGCTGTAGAAGAACGTCTTCTCTCGCGCGGTGAGGCTCCCCTGTCTCCTGTGGGTCGTGGACAGAGTGGTTCCCGCCAAGGCCGTGAAGAGGGGGGAAGGCAGCTTCGCTCACACAGGGTGGTCAGGGAGGCCTCTGATGAGGGCAGGTGTGACAACCAAAGCAGAGGGTATACAGGCCAAGAACAGGCAAGTGGGAGGCCTTGCACCCGGCCCGCGGGGACAGAGGGAGCGGACCCCCACCCACCGGTGATCCTGGGCGCTCTACATGGGATGTCTCTCCCAGTAACGTGACAGGTGAGCAAACTGAGGCCCGAGGGAGTGACTGGCTCAGGTCACTTGGCTGACAGGTGGTTGAGGAAGTCCTGGCGCAGAGGCTCCCACGACCTCGCCGGGGCTGTGACCTGCTTTAGCTGGGCTGCCCATCCCTCACGTCCCTGCTGGGCATCAGAAGCTGGGCCAGGAACACGTGGTCACGGGACAGGGTCCTTTGACACCAGATGGCGTTTGGGGTGGTGACTTTTCCTCTCTTGCGGAGTTTCTGTCTGTACGTTCCTTTTATAATCGAACAGACCCTTGAACTGGTAAAGAAAAAGGTCTGGGTGTCACCAGAATGAAGAGGAGGAGGGGGATGCAGGGACAGTGCTAACACGTATGGCGCTGTCATCAGTAACGGAGTAAGCTAGCCTGCAGGGACACAGACGCCCAGCCCAGCGCCTCAGATGGTCACTTCTCGGCGCTTTGATTTTTAAACAGAAAGCGAGGGAAGACCCTGTTTCAGTTCCGGATGTGGCGTTGGAGAGACCGGTCCCCCGGCTTCGCTGTCCGTCCCTCCAGCATTTCAGGAAGCAGTTTCTGGTTCCCGGGAGGCCTGTGATCCTGGAAGGCGTGGCGGACCAGTGGCCGTGCATGACGAAGTGGAGGTGGGTGGCTCTGCCTGATCCAGCCCCCCGCCCCCACCCGGGGACTCCCCGATTCCGTCTCCCTTCGTCCCAAGGAAATGCAGCCTCGCATGCACATCCCGACCGTCCCTGCGTGGATCACTCGGGGTTAACCGGGGATTACAGGCGCAGTGCGCCAAGTTCGTGGCAGAGATGGAAAGGTCCGTACTTCCACAGCTCACTGCTCTAAGCCGGTTCTAGTGAGTGCTCGCCTCGTGCGGCGTGAAGTCTGTTAAAGCCATTTTGCACGATCTGAGGTGTCCCCTGGACCTTCCCAGGGGCCCTGAGGCCTAAGAGCAGAAGAACGAACCCGAGACACGGCCCCTCCCCTGCAGGCAGGGCTCCTGGGCTTGTTCCCTCCTCCCATCTGCTCCGATTCGTGGTGGTGACAGCAGGTCAGGCCACTGGGCGGTGGCCGGCATGCCGAAGCTGTGGAAAGGAGCAGGGGTCTCTGAGGACGATGGATCGGCTCCCCTGTCTCCCGTGGGTCATGGACGGAGTGGTTCCCGCCAAGGCCGTGAAGAGTACCGGCCGCTGGGGCCATCGTCCCGCAAACATTCATTACGGGTCTTACTATGGGCCAGCCGCCACGATCGGCTCGTGCTGTATTTTCTCTCTCTGTCCTCCCCATTCCCATCCCGTGGGACAGGTATCGTCATCACCCTAGCTTACCAGTGGGCAGAGGTCCCCGGCCGGTCACAGGCAGGGCCAGGCCGCCCGAGCTCAGAAGCCAGCGCCCCCGCCGTGCCGTCTGCTGTTTGCTCGGAGGTCTCTGAGCTCAGAGACAAGGTGAGCGGAGAAAGAACTGGGAGGCTTTCGGCCAGCAGGGCGATAGAACCACCCAGCAAGAAGCTTGGCAAACCAGCCTCCCCGGATCTCTCTGCAGTGGTATCAGTGGGCTCGTCACCCCACATGTCGGTGCCCGAGTGCCCCCCACCGGTGAAGAGTGGGTAACAGCAGTCTCTCTCCCCGTGGGGCTGTGTGGAGACCAGAGGCCAGTGTGGCCGAGTGCCCGGCAGGTCTTAGCCAAAGCGACAGTGGTGACCATACGTATCTGTCTTCTAGTTTGGAGTATATCCAAGACATTGCCGGCTGCCGAACTGTCCCGGTGGAAGTCGGTTCCAGGTACACGGACGAGGACTGGTCGCAGACGCTCATGACGGTCAATGAGTTCATCAGCAGATACATCAGGAGTGAGGTACGTCATTGTGCCTCCTCCCCCGCAGCGTTTACGGTGGGAGCTCGCGGGACATCTGGGAGCTGCAGGATGAGGATTCGGAGGGGCTGGTAGGGGGGCCAGAGTGAGGAAGGCCAGCTGCAGGGCATGCGGAACGCTGACTCATTTCAGGTCTTTTTTTTGGTACAATTCAGTGGTGTTTTGTTTTTTTTTTTTAGTGTCTTTGTAAGATTTTGCACCCATCCCCACTATCTAATTCCAGAACATTCTCATCACTCCCCAAGAAATGCCATAGCCATGAGCAGTCACTTCCTCTTCTGCTATAGACAACCCCTAATCTGCTCTATGTTTCCATGGATTTCCCAATTCTGGACTTGGCGTAGAAACGGAATTGGACAGTCTGTGGCCTTCTGTGTCTAGCTGCTGTCGGCATCGCACTCTCGGGGTTCCCTGCTGTGGCTGGGTAATATCCCGGGGTGTGGACACCCCGCATTTTGTTTATCGTCAGCTGATGGCCGGTCAGGTGGTCTACACTGGCTGGTGTGAAAAGCGCCACTGGGAACGTTCCCGTCCAAGTTTCTCTGTGTGGACGTATGTTTTCGTTCTTCTCGGGTATATATGAGATGCCCAATCGCCGGGTCACAAAATGTTTGACCGTTTTGAGGAACCGCCAGACGGTTTCCAAAAGCAGCAGTGCTGTATTCTCGTGTCAGATTATTCACAGTAAGGGCCGGGGGTGGCTTCCCCTTCCTGAGGCCCGAACAGTTCCTCTGGGCTCAGAAGGGAAGCCCGCACGTGGCGCATGGACCCTTACGGGGAGGGGACGTCCACCCAGCCTCGGCAGTCCCGGCCGTCTTCCTGGCCCGGAGAGCAGAGCCCTTCCCGAGGGAGGTCGGGGAATTTCAAATCCGTGGTCTGCGATTGTTCCACACACTTTCTAGCAACTCACACCCAAGGCAGCCCCAGGCCCAGCCCCTGGAAAGTTCTGATTCGGTTTCATCTGGGTCTGCTGCAGTCCAAGGGCCTGGGGGGTGACCATGCTGGCTGATAGTTTGAAACACAGAAGAGTAAACCACAGAAAGCTCTGAGCACAGCATGGTCAGCGCCCGGCTAACCTGAGTTAGCATCTTTGGGCCAGAATCCCCGTGACCGCAGAGATCACACAGATCCGGCCCTGCCCGCCACAGAACCCCAGGTCTGGCTTGTTGTGACTTTTCGAGTCATCAGGAAGAGAAAGGAGTGAGGGAGAGGGCTGGAAGCAGAGAAAGTCTTGAGGGATTCTAGAGAGAAGCCTCCATCTCCTTCAACATAATAGTCTGGAGTATATCCAAGACATTGCCAGCTGCCGAACTGTCCCGGTGGAAGTTGGTTCCAGGTACACGGACGAGGACTGGTCGCAGACGCTCGTGACGGTCAATGAGTTCATCAGCAGAGCCTGGGAGACCCAGGCCGGCGGGGCTCTGGCTATGGTGGGGGGCCTGGCGGCCAGCCTCCCGTGTACTCCACCCCCAGCGGCCCTTCCAGAGCCTGCGCCACCCCCCAAGAAGGCCTGGAGCCTCGTGGAGCCCAGTTTGTAAGGCACCGATCTTTCCATCCGTCTGATGGCAGAGATGTTCACAAGATGATCATCTCTGGGGAGTGCAGCCGGGGTGCAGGAAATGGGTGCTCACAGTTGTGCTGGGAAGTCAGTACATGGTTAATTTTGGGGAAATAAGCTGGCAGAAGCTACTAGAATTTAAGATGCACACACTCCTTGACTCAGTTGTTCTGTTTTTGGGAGGACATAAATATAAGGACCAGAATATTAGGCTGTTTATGGAAACACTGGCTAAATAACCTGACTGTCCACCAGCAGGGGGTGATTGAATTCACGGGGTGTCCTGCCTATAAAACATGTATCTGTCAAAAAAAAAAAAAATGAGGCAGATCTGTACGTACTCACCTGAGGAGATACTCATGAGGTTGTCATTAAATGAAACAAAGATTTCCAAGTAATACATATGATACCATTCCATTTTTATTTATAAAAGAAATCCTCATGGGTGTACAGCCTCTTCATTTTCATGGGGGGAAACTGAGCCTGGGGCATCCCTACAGAGGCGGCCCCAGATCCTGAGTCTCCCTGGGGCCCAGCGCTGCCCGCAAGAGGGAGAGCATCACCGATGTTCGCCCCTGGGGCACAGAGGGGCCCAAGGGGGACGGGACGCACCTGCCAGCTGGCTGCCCGTGGCTGGGGCGCACCCGGTGCCAAGAGCGAGCGGAACAGCGCCTGGAGGGTGCTCCTTATGGCCAACCAGGCTTTTTCTGTGTCGCTTCCGGTTTTCCTTCCACGGATCAGTCGAGGGACGTCGGGTACCTCGCGCAGCACCAGCTCTTTGACCAGGTAAGTCTGAGACCACGCTCCTCTGTCCTTGACCCTGCCACCTTCTCCCACCTCCCTTCCTGGGCTCCGAGCCACAGAGGGCTGGAAAGGCTCTAGCAGCCTCTTGGGCCACCCACGGGGGTGGCGCCCGTGTCCCCCTCACCAGCGGGCAGCAGGTGGCGAGCGGGAGACTGGGCGTGCCGACCTCAGGGCCCCAAGCCTGGGGTCGGGGGGGTGAGGAGGCCACGGCATCGGAAGGAGGTGGCCCCAGCGAAGTGGAAGCAGTTGTGGTCGGATGTAGAGGAATGGGTCCTAGGGAGCCGAGTGAGGGCGGCAGGCTCTGACCCGACCCGGAAAGAGCAGGTCCCTGCTGTCCTTGACCGTGGGTTTTCCAGGGGGGTTCCCGGCACCGTCCTTAGCCCATCTCAGCTGTCAGCTCACGAGGCCGTCTCCCCCCAGCTGGGCCTGTGTGCTCCTGGCAGGGGCCGGATTCAGTTCCTCTGGGTCCCCAGCCCTGGTTGGCCAGACTGAAGACCCTCAGGACAGACTGCTTGAAGGCTGAAGGCGGAGGGGGTCTCAGGCTGAGGCTGAGAGGAGGAGCGGGGTCCAGCCAGGCCGGAGGCAGGAGGACATTGCAGGGAGAGGCACCTCATGCACTGAGGCTCAGGGGTGCACTCTGGAGTGGGCCCCCTGTGCTGGGTGCATCCACCTGCCTGGGAGATGTGTTCAGAAGAGCAGAGCGAGAAGGCAAAGAGGGAGGCTGGGCCCCAACTGGGCGAGCCTTGAAGGTCAGACCAAGAACTTGGATTTATCTGCAAGGCAGCAGGGAGCCCTGGGAGGTTTCTGAGCAGGAGGATCCCAGTAAGAGGAGGTATTCCGGGGAGATCCATCAGGAGAGACTGGGGTGGGGGCAGGGCAGAAGTCCTGCTCCGGCTTTCTCCGTCACTGTCACCGGTCAGCCCTAAGAAGGGAGCATGACAGGGTGGCCCCACCAGCGCCCCGGGAGCTGACAGAAATGCAGGATGGCTCCCAGCCCCCACCCCGGCAGCACGTGTCCCGTGCACCTGTTACCCGGCGCCCCGAGCACATGGTGAGGAGGGGGTCACGACACGCTGGTGGGACCCCGGGGGCTGCCTGGCTGTGGGGAAGTGAGAAAGCGAGGATGCGCCGTGGGCAGAGGGAGCTCCGCTCTGGTGAGGACAGGAGGTGCCCCAGAAGATGAACAGTGCTTGTGCGTGGTCACATGGTGTGCGGTTTTTCCTGTTCTTCTCTGCAATTTGCAAAGCATCTAGAACGAGCCCGTATGCTCATCATCATGAGAAAAAATAGACTTTATTTTTAAATGTAGACACAACAAGGGAACAAAGTGAAGTGGAACCCGATTGCCTTCCGAGTTTTCAGAGCCATCTGGTTAGGCTGAAACAACCTGACAGCTTATCCCAGGGAGGTCACTGAACAGTTTCCTTCTGTCCACCCCCTGCCCTGTCCCCCCACTCACTTCACTCTGTTCTGGGAGCGGGGGGCCGGAATGCTGCCCCGGGCCTGGGCTTCCTCGTGAGCCCCTCTGCACCCTGCTCTGGGTCCGGCCCTGGGGAGGGCAGGGTAAGGAAGAGCTGCCCCTCCCGTCCCAGTGGACCTGAAATCCAAGTACATCAGCTGGTGACGAGCGCCCCCAGGAGAAGAACAGAGGCAGCCTTGTGGCGGTGGCTCTGGGGAGCCCAGGGGCAGGGAAGGCGTCTCCAGGAGGTGAGACTTCAGTGGCGACCTCGAAGATGAGCAGCCTCCAGCCATGGGGCGGATGTTTTGCCCATTTTTTTTATTGGGTCGTTTGTCTTTTGAGTGTTAGAGGAGTCCTCTGTATACGTTCTGGGTCTAAGCTAGTTGTCTAGTGTAAGAGCCGTATTTGATGTCAATCCTTAACTTTCTTCTTTTGTCTAAAAGGAGACGAGGGGGGCATGCCAGCAAGGGGGGGAGCAGGAGCGGACATGCCCCTTGAGCGGGGCTGGAGCCGAGTGCCTGGGGTTGGGGGGGGCGGGGAAGAAGCAGGTGGGGCTGGAAGAGGAAGGATGGTCTTTCCCATGCCTGGGGCCGCGTGGGAGGGTTGGGGGCCTTCTCAGATGGCCGAGGCCCAGTCCTGGAGGGGAATGGAAGGTGGGCGGGTGGGGCAGCGGGGAGACCCCCAGGAGGCTGCTGCCGTGGTCCAGGGGGAGCTGATGCCCGGGGAAGCGGACAGCTTCCAGCCTGGTGCCAGCTGCCAGCACCTGCACACAGGTGGCTGGGCGAGGCCGCGGGAAAGGGAGCAGTCAAGGAAAACTTTAGACTTGAGACCCGAGTGCCCGGTCAGTGGAGCCGAGGGATCCAGGAGGGACTTCGCTGGTGTCTCGGCCAGACTACAGACACTGTGGTGGGGCCCAGCAGGAATGCCCGGGCAGGGCAGCACCTGGCCTGGGCGGGGATGGGGAGTTATGCCCCGAAGGGGGAGATCTGGCTCAGTCAGGGCCCGAACCACAGCCAAGGTCTGCCGGGTCTGCCCCTGGGCTAGGGCTACTCTCACTGCCCGTCCTGACAGGGGACCCAGGTCCAGTTGGGGCTGTCCCAGCCCCCAAGAGCCTGCGCACCCAAAATTAAAGGGGCCAGAGTGGGTGGGAGCTGGGTGGGCTGCGCTCTCTTTCCCAGGCCTCCCGAATTAGGACTTTAGATCCTGCCTCCTGCCCTCTCCGAAGGAAAGGGGGAGTCTAGCGAGCAGGCCCCTACTGTGCCATCCCAAGTGACCAGCCTGTCCCCTGAACTTGGTCACACCTCCCGTGGGCCCAGGTAAACTCGCCTCCCTGTCCTAGGGCAGCCATTTTCGATTTTACTAGAACAAGAGGAAGCAGTGTGAGAAGCAGAAGGCAAAGTGCCCAATTGTTTTTAAGACGAACCAAGACCTTAAAGACATTTTGCCTTTTGGAGGGCCACCTGGATCTTTCTCTCGGGTCCCCAGAGGTGTGTTTTCACCTCTGCTGCCCAGAGTGCCACCTGGCAGGCCCCCGCACTGCTTTGTGGGGCCTTCTCTGCCTCCACGAAGCCCAGTGGCTCCCACCTGAAACCTCTTGCCCAAAAACCTCTTACTGACTTTTCTCCCAGGGGCCCCATGTTGTGGGAGATTGTGGCCACCACACTAGGCCTCCCTTTAATTATCGGTCACATGATGGGAGTATTCCTTCTCTTGGGGGGGTGGTCTCTGAATCCGTGGCCAGTGGCCAGTGGCCAGTGGTTCTCACCATTTGACCAACCAGTCACAGTCCAGAAACCCTGATGATGTCATCAGGGACCAATCAGCTTCCGAGCGTCCCAGCAGGAAGCAGCTGTGTGTGACCGAGCCTCGTGGTGATGGAGAAGCAGGAGGTTCCCAGAGGCCTTTGGCATCTCCTGCCACCCCCCACCCTACCGGCCACCCCACGGGCCGACAGGACAGGGGACCCCAGACTGGGAACTTGTACGTTAGCCCAGAGCAGTGGACACAGCCGCATTTCTCTACTTCTGCACAGGCTGTTTGAGACAGAACAGCCTGAGGTCCCTGCAGGGAGAACATTCCAGCCATTCCCAAGGATCCATCAGTGGCTTCTTGGCCAGCACCCTGAACTTGGAGCAGTTATGACTGAAAGATGGCGAAAGCCTGCCTGCAGCTGCCCCTTCAGAGCAGGGAGACGTCCCTCTCCAGATACCTGAGGAAAGTAGCCAAGGGGTGCCCCCCACCGCCACCCATTAGGGACCAGGCGTCGGTTTCTGTGGAATTTCCCCGAGCCGCCGAGCCACCTGCCCCGGCAGCAGGCAGTCTTCGAGGCTTGGGGCTGCGGGGGCCATGGAGGCCTGGCCTCCGTGGGAGAGAACCAGCGTCTGATGGGCCTTCAGAAGGCCCGGCCGGGGATACATCCAGGGGAGCGGGCCCGCGGCCCCCTCCCCGGGGTGTCCGGACCCCTCACCAGCCCTGAGCGGGGGTGCTGGGGCCCTTCTGCGGGGTGCAGCCCCAGCGGGGCCCTCTGAAGGCCCAGCCAGGGAGCGGGGAGGACGCAGGGCTAGAAGCAAACTCCAGAGGGGACACCATGCTTGCTGTCTGAAAGCACCTCTTGTCGGCGGGTCAGGGACGGCAGCCGGGGCGGGGAGCCAACAGCACCTCCCTTGTATCGAACTCATTTCTACATAGTGTCTGGTTTTTGCCCTTTGATTATTCATGTAGCTTATGTACCGGGATCCTTATTATGTTGAACCCTTGGGTACCACAGTGCAAAAGTTTCTCCCTTTATTGGCCTTTGGATTCATGAACGTATTTAAAATGTATGCACGGTGACTGCTTTCTCCTTAGTCCATTTTGGGGAATCTCCCTTTCCAGAGATTTGATAAATACCCAACCCCATTTTCTTTGTTTTTTTCTTTGATTTGATTTTCAAAAACGTGGCACTCTGCAGAACATTGCGAGCTGGTGTATTTTTAAGTGCAAAGCAGTGCTATCAGGTTTTCAAAAAGGAAACGAAGATAAAATGCACATGACAGGGAAACAAATCTGGAAATAAAATTATATGTAACTCTTTCCTAATGATTATATATTTATTTTTTCTTTCTTTTTTTAAAAAATTTTATGTATTTATTTACTTGAGAGAGAGAGCTTGCATAGTGGGAGGGGCAGAGGGAGAGGGACAAGCAGACTCCGTGCTGAGCACAGAGCCCAACATGGGGCCCGATCGCATGAGATCACAGCCTGAGGCGAAATCAAGAGTCGGACGCTCAACAGACTGAGCCACCCAGGTGTCCCTATATATTAATTTCTTCAGTTGGTTTTTCAATTCCCCCACAGTAAAACGCAGACGTAGTTTACTGAACCGGGATAAACAGGATCTCTCCGGGAGAGATCACACTGTAAAAAGGCAGTGTGTGTTTGGCCGTCCTGTGAGATGGTCCGTTGACTTTGGGGCTGGTGCGTCCCCGGCCGGGGCTCGGCCTTCCCACCTGTGCTCTGACCCCACAGATCCCAGAGCTGAAGCAGGACATCGGCATCCCGGACTACTGCTGCCTGGGCGACGGGGAGGAGGAAGAGATCACCATTAATGCCTGGTTTGGTCCCCAAGGAACCGTGTCCCCCCTTCATCAGGACCCTCAGCAGAACTTTCTGGTCCAGGTGGGAGTTGCTCCAGAGCGTCGGCCTTGTGCCTCCCCAGCCCGGCCCCGCACAGCCTGGCCACGTTACCCGTGTTTAAACACCAGAGAGACGGGTGTGGACAAAAATGAAATCAGAGGGACGGTACCAGGCCCCTCTGGGGCCCTCCTTCCGGCGGAGGCTGGTTCCAGGTGTGGTTCCGGGACCAGCAGCCCCTGGGATGGTGGCTGCGTCACTCGGGCAGAGCAGGGCCGTCTCGGGACGGAGTGAGTGCCCTCACACTGCGTGTCCTCTGCCTCCCCCGCCGCCCCCCTTCCATCAGAACCAGGCCGGTTTCCCCCTGCCAGCACCTCTCCCCAGACGAGGCACGGCTTCCTGGCCACTGGATGGTGTGTCCTGAGAACCTGACCCAGACAGGGAGCAGGTGTGCTTATTGCAAGGGGAGGGGCACCTGTTGTGAAACCACCTTATTTTTTGCAGGCAGAGGTTTAACAGATGAGAACGTTCTTCCAGCAGAGGCACTAGAGGGGCTGAGAGCTGGGCCCCGGAGCCACTGCTTGGTGTGAATGCCAGCCCTGTCACGATTCAGCCTGGTGACCTTGGGCCACTTGGCTAGCCTCTCTAGTTACTGATCCATAATATATTTGGAGGCTAAACCTATGCCTGGCCTGGAATGGGTGTGGCAGGGATGGGGCAGTCTGGGCGCAGGGAACAGCACGTGGAAAGGCGCAGAGAGGTGTGGGAGGCTGGTGGGTTCAGGGACCTGCGGTCCGCGGGGGGCAGCCGTGGTGCTGGGGGCAGCAGCTGAGTGACGAGTCACCGTCTCTCCAGGTGCTCGGCAGGAAGTACATCCGGCTGTATTCCCCGCAGGAGTCAGAGGCTTTATATGCGCACGAGACGCACCTTCTTCATAACACGAGCCAGGTGGGTGCTCGGGGACCCCGCGTGACGCTGCAGATTCTCCCACCCATCCCTGGAGACCAGGCAGGTGACCGCTCGGGTTTTCTTCAGGTTGACGTGGAGAATCCCGACCTGGAGAAGTTCCCCAAGTTTGCTGAGGCCCCGTTCCTGTCCTGCGTCCTGTCTCCCGGAGAGATCCTGTTTATCCCGGTTCAGTACTGGCATTACGTGCGGGCTCTGGACTTGAGCTTCTCCGTCAGCTTCTGGTGGTCGTAGCCAGGGTGCAAGGGTCCGAGACGCGTCCCCTGCTCCACACCCGGCCTGTGCCGGAGCCTTTGCTGGAGACCAGGCTGGGCGCTGGCCGGACACGGGGCGAGGGTGCAGCAAGGCGCACGCTCCGGGCCAGGTGCGTGCAGCAGAGGCAGGTGGGCCAGACCCCAGGAGGACGTCCCCGGCCGACACCCCGCCTGGAGACCCCGGGCATCGTGAGGCCTGAGGTGCTGGGGACACGGACCAGCAGTGTGCATGGCGTTAGGGGTGGGCTCTGAGGTCGGCTGCCTGGATTCATACCTGGCCCCTTGGCTTACTTGCTGTGGGAGAGGTGGGATGGATACCTCACTGTGTGTGTGTCTCCATGGGGAAAACAGGGCAGCTCGAGCACCCACCACGGAGAGTTTGAGAGGCAGTGTGCGGACAGAGCCCCGGCAGGTCCACGAGCATTAGCTGCTGTCTGATCTTAATAATTACTGTGATTGCCACCGACTTGTTTGTCATGACTGGCCTGACAGGACAGCCCCAACCCGCAGACTCTGGAGGAGGCGCTGGCCACGGGCGATGGTCCCTCTCGGCTTGCTCAGCCCAGCCCTGCCGGCAGCGGGAAGTCTGGGGAGGTTTCTGTTGTCATTATGCACGCACGGCCTGACAGGCGGCCATGGCCATCTCCTAGGCTGCATTTTCAACTGTGCCCCCTCCCAGCAGCCAGTCCCCGCACCATGAAACCACCCTCAGCGGTGCCCAGAAGCCCCCTCCTGCCCCTCGGTCTCATTCATTCCCCCCTTGCAGAGAGAGCCGTCCGCCCAGGGGAGCAGGTGGCCCTGCACGTCAGCTCCATGTCCCCGCAGTGCCAGGGCCCACAGGCTCCGGGGCCCCAGGGAAGACTCTGGCGGGCCAGGAACCAACGAGGTGCAGCTCCAGCAGCCGGGGCCTGGCTAGCACGCGGACCCTTGGGTAAGCGAGAGCAGGAGTGGGGAAGCGTCGGTGGGCAGCTGGACCCTAGCCGCTCGCCTCCTCTGCAAGCGGGCCAGGGCCTTTGAGCTTGATCACGCAGGGCTTGGGGCCCCGAGTTTGGGGCAGGGAGGCCATCAGTATATGCATGGAGCCGGCGGGGAGGCAGGGGCGCGGCGGGGGCACGCAGGGCAGAGGCAAAGGCCAGCTACTTGGGAGCGAAATGAGGGCTCTCTGCGGAGACTGCTTGTCCCCCATCTGGTGCTGTTAATAGTTCTTTGCCTAATCCGTCAGATGAAGAACTTACCCAGATATCCGCGCCGCTGAAGGTAGCGGGGCAGTAGGAAGGCCACTGGGCCTGGCACACTGGCTGTCAGGGACAAGTGGGCCGTAACTCGGGGGCCCGCCTGCATCTCCCTCAGGCCCCCCCAGCCGAGGGTGGCTGTAGCCTCTACGATCCGTCTCTCCCAGCTGGTGGCCCCGCTTCTGCTCCGAACGGCCGAGAGGACATGGCATTAAAACAGAACGCGGGGGCCTGGCCGCCTGCAGCAGCTGTCCCTTGTCAGGTGGCAGGATGGGGCAGAAGCCGAAATCTTTATGTGCCCTCTGGGCCGAGCTCCAAGGCCGCCGGCAACAGCGGGGCCGGAGGGCTGGCCTCAGCTCTGAGCAGCGCGGACTCGGGTCTGCCTGGAGGACGAGCGCCCGCCGGCTGTCCGCCGAGCCAACGAGGGGCGAGCCCGGGGCCACTGTCCCCGACCCGCCTGAGCTGCAGACGCCGGCCCTGGGCTGGTCCGACGCAGGCACGTGAGGCCTCGAGCCGGATGCGGCCCTGTCCCGGCATCCGGACAGGAGGGACAGTGCAGTAAGGTGCGGATTGTGGCGAGGCCTGTGAAGGGACCGTGACAGGGCGGACCGGGGACGGGACTTAGCACAGACGACATCTGAGTAGCCGGAATGACCAGGAGGCCGCAACCGGCCACGAGGTTTGAGGAGGCGCTCCCAGCAGCAGGTGCAGTGGCCCTGGGGCAGGAAGGCTCGGGCACCGGGGGAGAGGGAGGGACCCCGTGCAGCCGGAGCACCAGGGAGGCGGGGGGCGGGGGGGACAATTGGGACTGCGCCTGTAGGGGGAGCCGGGTCTGCAAGCTGCTGTGAGAAGGGCCAACAGGGCGAGCCCGGAAAGTGGAACAGCTGTGTCACCTGTCCCATCGGTAGCTCTCGGAGTGACCGAGTCAGGAGTGTCAGCAGGGAGCAGAGAGGGGGGAGACGGGCTGGGCAGAGAGGCGGGCAACGGCCCAATCCCCAAAGCCTCGAGCGCCAGACATGGTCTTAGAACTGTGTATGAGGTTTTGTCGGGTGCTGTCAGGGAGTCCTCGGGAAGTTCAAGTTGGGATCAACACTGGGAGACTGAGAGCTGGGGGGCCTGTGTCCCCAGGGGCCAGGGACTCAGAGCTTCTGGAGTCACAGCTAGGACTCGCCTGGACCTGCGTGGTACGACCCTGCCCCTCCTCGGGCTGTGGGAAGCCCCCGGGCCCCCCCAAACCCCAAGCTCCAGGGTCCATCCTTTTTCCACTGGTTTTCCTGCCTTCCTGTCATCTCTGCAGATTTCCTTGTACCCTTCCAAGAAAGCTCTTCTCTGCTTAAGCCGGTGGGGATGCTTTCTGTTGCCTGCTTGACACCAGACCTCCCTGCATGGTCGGGGGGTGCCCATGGGGCTCTACTGGGTGGCTGCTGTTTGCCTCCAGATCCCTCCTGTGCCGGGATCCCAGCCTGGCCCCCAGAGGCTCCATTGGGAGCATCATCACTGGGATGCCGGGTGATGAGGAGACTCACCTGAGGCTGGGAGGGTGAGCCTCTCACCAGCCAGCACCATTTGTCCACCACGTCCTAGATGCTAGATGCCCCCTGTGCACCGGGCTTGTGGAACAGACCACGGGTGGAGGCCACCTGCCCATTTGGTGCCAAGTTCATTCCCCTTTTGCCTGATAAGAGCATCCCGTTATCTTTGGGAGAGAACTCTGTGGCTCAGAGGCAAGCGCCGATTTGCCAGTGCCGACTGGACTATCCTGTCCCATCCCCGCCTCTGTAAGTATCCAGAGTGGAGCTGGGACCACGAGGGTGTTTGCCGGGGCAGGCAAGCCAGTTAATGAGATGCGCCCTCTTCCTCCCAACACGGCGCAGTGGCGTGTGAGGCCTGGAAGGATGGCTAGCAGGAAGAAAGTGGCTAGATTTTCTGGGAGACTAAGCACAAGGCCAGCTCAATGAAAATTAGAGGCAGCGATGTGGATGCTTGGTGACATCACAGGACCCACCAGGTCAAGCCTCTCCTGAAGGACCCCGTCTGGCCAAGTCCCTCCTTGTTTAGCCACATTGGGCTGACTGATATCGGGGTGGAAGAGACAAGGAGACGGGAGTCAGAAGTGTGGCAGGTGTGATGAGCAGGGATGTGCAGGAAAATGGGGACCGAGGGCTGGAAGCCGTGACAAGATCTGAAGAGCGGCCGGGGGGCAGGCCAGTGGTGGGAAATGAGGAGGGAAATTGTGCAGGCCGAGGGCACAATGTGTGCAGGGGCTCGGGGGCCAGGAACAGAGGGCGCTTTCAGGAGGGAAGGAAATGCCATGTAGGGCAAAGTGGGCCCGGAGAGGTGGTGAGATGGGCCTCAGCGCCGGCCCGTGAATCCTCAGTCTGCACCCGGGCCCCAAGGCAGCGGGGCCGTCAGTTCTCAGGGGGGCATGCCGCGCTGACGGTTGGTGGCCGGATCGCCGCGGTGGAAGAGCCTGGAGCAGGCGGGCTGGCCGGGGCCAGGAGCTGAGCTGGCAGAGGGGGCGGGGGCCTGGACCGGGTTCGGTGGCAGGTGAGCCAGGGAGGAGGGGGCATCTAGGCCGACAGGACGGCTGATGGTGGCGCTGCCCTTCAGCAGGCAGGGGCGGAGGCCCCCAGTGAGGAGAGCAGCCTCTGGCCCGTCAGGCAAGCTGCACCTCGGGCCAGAGGAGGGTCCGGGCTGTGGGGGGCTGGGGAGGGCTGGGCCGGCCAGTGTTGATGGCATGAGTGACCCAAGCCGGGGGCTGAGGCTGAGCCGCTGGGCGGGTGTCGTGCGGGAGGAGCTCTGGCAGCTTCCCCAGCGGGGACCCAAGCCGAGGGGTTCTCCGTTATCCGGGAGCCACCCTGGGAAGCCTCCTAGGGGGCGCGCAACCACAGACGGAGGCTGCAGCGAGGACTCCTTAGTAACTTTTATTCCAAACCTGCTCACGAGTGATCATCACAAAGCAGACGGGGGCTCAGGTGCAACGTGAAGCACCGTCGCCCAAACAGGGCCCGCCGGCTGTCCCTGAAGGCAGCGAGCCCGTGGCAGCGCAGCAGCTAGTGCTGCCTGGACCGCAAGGACCTCTTGTTGGCCCTGGAGGTACCAGCCTCCCGCTCCTTCTCGGGATCGAAGACCTCTGCACACAGAAAAGGCCGGAAGGTACCGTGAGCAGCAGTGGGACGCACGCACACGACAGCAGCTCGAGACCGCAGCTATGGGTCCCCTGCCGAGGGCTCTGTCCTCGCGCCCCACCCCCACCGCAGCCAGGAAGGGGGGTCACCTCCCGTCCCCGGACGGCTGCCGGGGGGCTGTATAGACCAGACAGGTCTAGACCATGACCTAAGGGTTCTCCTGGGTTCTAAGAGCCCTTGGCAGTGTGCGAGCAGGAGGCCTCCGCGTACTGCAGGAGCTGCTTCAGCGCGTGGGTTCGGGTCCTGCTCACACACACCTGCACACGCGGAGCCCTCGCCTGAGCGCTCCCCGTCCCCAGGTGTCCCCTCAGTCCTGCCCAGACAGCCCCCGAGCACCATGGTGATGCGAACCTGGTATCTCGTGGGGCCAGTAGTCATTACAGTGGGGGCAGCGGGGCTCGGGACTGGACTGGAAATACTTGGCCGTGCAAGGTAAGTGCATCCTGATCCCACACGTCTCGCAGCTTTGACCCTGAAACCAGAAAGGCAACAGCCGTGGAGCCTTGCTCCGTGTTCACAAACCTTCTGCAAATGGCCAGGAAAACGTCCAACAGGCTCCATGGTCTTGTCTTCCAGGCCCCAGATGAAGGATAATTCCAAAGCCCTGAGCACAAGGGCTTGTAGGAACTGTTATTAAAAAATTCTGAGAGGGTGCCTGGGTGGTTCAGATGGTTAAGCGTCTGCCTTCGGCTCAGGTCATGATCCCAGGGTCCTGGGATCGAGTCCCGCATCAGGCTCTCTGCTCCTTGGGAGCCTGCTTCTCCCTCTGCCTCTCTCTCTCTCTCTCTCTCATGAATAAATAAATAAAATCTTAAAAAAAAAAAAAATTCTGAGAAATGAACATAGGTAGAGGACACTCAAAACTCTTAACAGTGGGACGCCGGGGTGGCTCCGTCGGTTAAGCGGCTGCCTTCGGCTCAGGTCATGATCCCGGGGTCCTGGGATTGAGCCCCAGGTCGGGTCCCTGCTCAGTGGGGAGCCTGCTTCTCCCTCTCCCTCTGCCCCTACCCGCTCCCCCTCCCCACACTCTTCCTCTCTCAAATAAAAATCTTTTTTTTTTTTTAAGATTTTTATTTATTTATTTGAGAGAGAGACTGAGAGAGAGAGAGCATGAGAGGGGGGAGGGTCGGGAGGGTCAGAGGGAGAAGCAGACTCCCTGCCGAGCAGGGAGCCCGATGCGGGACTCGATCCCGGGACTCCAGGATCATGTTTTGAGCCGAAGGCAGTCGCTTAACCAACTGAGCCACCCAGGCGCCCTCTCAAATAAAAATCTTAAACAAAAAACCAAAACTCTACCGGCCAGAGCGCGGTGGCGGCGGGCCCAGCCCCGCAGCACAGCCAGGCGGCCTCGGAAACCCGGGCTCCCGGCGCACGCGGGCGCTCAGCGCGTACAGGGCCCGTGCG